ATTGGGCTACTGAGCAGAATAGACCATTTCCAAAAAAAGGAAACAAATAGACAACTGTTTTAAAGTGTTCAACATCCCTAGTCATTAGATAAATGCAAATTTAAAATACTTTGAGATACCACCTCACTCTTTCAGAGTGGCTATTATTAAGAAATCTGATGACAGGTACTGGAGCGATGGCCTCAGAAGTAAAGAGCACTTCCTGCTCTTTCCCAGGAACCAGGTTTGCTTCCCAGCATCCACATGGTCAGTACCTTGAATTCCAGGGAATCCAGCACCCTTTTTTTGGCCTCCACAGGCACCAGGAATGCTCACAGTGTACATACTTTCATGCCGATAAAACACTCATCCACATAAAATAAATGTTTTATAAATCTTAAAAATGGAGAAAAGATGCCGGGCGTTGGTGGCACACGCCTTTAATCCCAGCACTCGGGAGGCAGAGCCAGGCGAATCTCTGTGAGTTCGAGGCCAGCCTGGGCTACCAAGTGAGCTCCAGGAGAGGCGCAAAGCTACACAGAGAAACCCTGTCTCGAAAAACCAAAAAAAAAAAAAAATGGAGAAAAGAAATCTGACAAATGTTGGAGGAGTTGGAGAAGAGAAACCTTACTCACTGTTGGTGGGGTACACATTATTATAGTCATTATGAAAATAAACTGGAGGTTCCCCAAAAAATTTAAAAAACAAATAGAAATGCCATATGACCCAACTATCTCACTCCTGGGCACTGGCCTAGAGCACCCCATACCCTATCATAGAAATGTTTGTACATGTTTATTGTTGCTCTATTACTATAGCAAGAAAACAGAACCAGCCGAGATGCCCATCACCAGATAGACAATGAAAATCTAGTGACTATATAAAATACTAACTAGTTCTACTAAACAGTGAAACAAAAAAAATTATAGGAAAATGGACATAGAATGCATAATATTTACAAAGTCATCCAAGCTCAGAAAAAAAAAAAAAAAAAAACATGTTCTCCTTCATACGTGGATCCTAACCTACAATGTATACATTATGTATGTAAACAAATATACGTGTGGGAACATTTAGAGGAAAGAAGAAAATAGTAATATTAATGATGAAGGACAGGACTGAGGTAAAGGATGTAAAGCAATTTGTTGTGGATAAGTGCATAAAAATAATGGATAGTGAAAATAAAAAACCTAAGCTCCACGGTTTCAGAACGGTTATTCTAATTGAATAGTATTTATTCATTAGATATATAAAGTTTTGGACTTGCCAAGTGTTAGTGTGAGTGATTATGTTCATCTAGCTGCATGATATTTTTATTTGTAAGTTCATTGTAATAAAGTTTTATAAATTTAAAGAAAATAGAAGAATGAGACTAGGTATTGACAATACTTCCAAAGTCAGTGATGTGCAAATATAAAGTTCCCTAGTATCTTTGCAAACAAAGCCTTACCACTAAAAGCTGAGCGATACCCAGCTCTCCCGCGCTCATCACCTATCTGCAGCTGAGTGTGAGCCCCAAGGGCACCCAAGAAAGAGCGGAAAAAGACAAGCAAGGACGGAAACAAAGAAAACCACGCTCCAGTGTCACCGGGGCTCTCAGAAGATGGGAGTGACTTCTCCACTGCTTCCTGAGTGAAAGAAGAAGGTGACATTTATTTTGACAGGTTTTGGACCTGTCGTTTTAGAATCCCAGTTCAAAATCACGAAGTTCATATAGAAATAGCTAGAATCATCAGAGTGCACTGTGACATGGATCTGCTTACATTATAGTAAATGGAAAAAGAAAACACTTCCCTTGGGCCCTGACTAGTACTGAAGTACTAGGGAAGAAAAACTGGCATCGATAAGCTGTCAGTTTATCAGGCCCTGAGTTTTGTTTTTGTTTTTGTTTTTAATCTCCCGAACCCCCTGAGGCTGGAGATCCAGTCCAACACTCTGCACAACAAGCATGCCACCCCTGAGCTGCAGCCCTGGCTACATTCCAGTTTTAAATAACTATGCAAATTATTACACCTCCATTTCCCACGTTCCCGCCATTCACTCACAATCATTGTTTGATGTTCTATGGACCTCTATTTACCTCATAGGCATCTTTGATATTCAAGGGCTCGCCAAAAGCTGCCACATGTCCCACAATGCCTTTGTTCCACTCCAGGCGGATACAGTTATTGGAAGCTTCCTCCAGGGTCGAACCTTCAGCGACATCAAAGAGGCGGCTGACCAGAAATTTGTCTTTGGAGCTGTCCTCACAGACAAGGAATAGGGAATAGCGATCGGCGGAGATGAGTCCATGGATATGCAAGAAAATTTTGTGACATAAGGCTGTGACATCCAAGTGACTGGAAATATCTTTTACTAATTCCAAGAGTCTGGAGCACTGGTCCCCTTCACTACTATCAAATCTTGGGGGGGTTAGTGGCATCTGTTCCTTTTTTCCTGAGTCGGAGAGAAAGCTCACAGTTCCCTCGGAATCCTTGACAACAATGGGTCTAAGAGGCCGGTCGAATTCTGAGGCAGAGATTTTTCTGGCTGGGGCTGCAGGGGTGGTGGTCTCTGCATGAGGACTTGGCTGCGAAGGGCAGGAGCAAGACTCGCTGTGGGCTCGGATGCCTTCCTTGCATACTGGGATGGTGTGAACTCTCTCTGAAAACCATGCGTTCACCATTTCTCTGCAGAATGAAACATGTAGACAGGTTAGATATTTGAGGAAAAATAGTACTACCTCCTAAAGCTTCCAAAAATCCTGTCAATGCACAGTGTAGTCGCTCTCCAATCTTTCCAGATTGTTCTTATATATATAAGAACATCTCTGTGGATGGCAATTTCTCTCTGTAAGAAAGAAAGTTCCTTTACCACGTGCCAAAGGAAATACAAGGGTATTTGACTGCAATTCTATCTGCTGTAACAAAGACAAGCAGCATTCTAATTCCAGCAGATGACTGGCTATACACAGCATAGCAACCAAGGGACACTAGACTGACATTAACAGTAGTTTGCGCACTAATATAAATAATCTTCACCTGGGACTGGGGCTCAGTGCTAGAGTGTGTCATTAGTGTGTCATTAGTGTGTATCAGACCTTGGGCTCTTCGCAGCTTTATTTTTGTGTCCTTTTAGAAATAGAAAATTCCTTGGAAGTTTAGCTAATGGGGTCTTGCCCTCAGGGCCCTCCTCCCTTTATTCCACTTTGAATCAGGTCTTTCTTTAATTTTCTCATCTCTTTCAGTACAAGCCTTGACTCCAACATTAAATTTTCTGGTCTTATGCTTCTCTTCAAACTGTATATTTTGCATTTTTTCCTGCTTGTTCTTTTTCACTGAAGACCTGCATAACAGTGATTACTAATAACCATGCAACAGAGTCAACATTAAGCTGTCTTGAAATCTCCTCCACCAAGGAAATAAATACTTTCCAATTTTTCCTCAGGCAGATTTGTAGGACAAAGTTAGGATGTAGCCACATTCCCTGCCAAAATATCACAAGAATGCTTTGAGGTCCAGTTGCTAATATTGTTCCTCTCTGAAACCTCTTGAGCTGGGCCTACACAATCCACATTGCTCTCAGTACTACTGTCTTCCAAATCCTAAGATAGCCCATTCAGCCTTGCTTACAGCAACCAAATGCTTTCCTAGTCCAAAGTCCCAAAGTATTCCACATTCCTCCAAAAACACACTGTAGTCAGGCCTATCGAAGCAACAGTCCACATCCTGGTATCAACTATTCTCTTCGTTACTTTTCTATTGCTGTGGTAAAAGACCATGACCAAGCCAACTTATAAAAGAAGGCATTTAATGTGCAGCTTATGGTTTCAGAGGGTTAGCATCCATGATGGTCGAGCAATAGAAACACCTGAGAGCTCACATCCTGATCCGCAAGTTGGAGGCAGAAAGGCACACTGGGAATGATGCCTGATCTTCTGAAACCTCAAAGCCTGACCTCATTAATGACACACCTCTTTAAACAATCCTCCTAATCCTTTCCCAACAGGTCCACCAACTGGGACCAGATATTCAAATGTGCAACCCCATGGGGTCAATCTCTTTCAAACCACCATGGGGCCATTAATGACATTTTATTTTTCACAACCCTTTATTTGGATATGTCTAAGGTACTGCAATGAAAACAAATTTATATATTTAACTTTATATATATATATATATATATATATATATATAAATATATATATATATATATATATATATATATATATATATATATATTATGTAGAATTCAAGATAGAATTTTGGATAGAAGATCAACTATTTTGATTTTTCAAACAGCCATCTCACTCTGTACACACACTGGCCTTGAACTCTTGGTTCTCTTGCCTCAGCTTCACAGTGCTGAGGTAATAGGTTGTGGGTCACTGAAGCCAGACCTGGAGGGTAGTGACAGCAAGGTAAGTCACTTCTACAGCCGAGGATTGTGTATCTCCTTTTCTATCTCTTCCTTGATGCTAGGGGATTTTGAGAAATAGTCAATTACTTTTATTTTAAAAAGTATCAGCCAGGCATGATAGTGCATGCCTTTAGTCCCAGCACTCAGGAGGCAGAGGTGAATCTCTGTGAGTTGGAGGCCAGCCTGGTCTACAAGTTTCAAGACAGCTAGGGTTTCACAGAGAAACCCTGTCTCAAACAACAAAGTATCATTTTCTTTAAACCTTGTGAGGAAGATATTAACAATCTTACTTTCTAAACTATGAAAGTAATATAAGTGTCTGAACCAAATCTATTTTGTGATCTAGTGGTACATCCAGGTCTCCTATTCTTGGCGCTGTAATGTAGGAGAACATAGACTTCTCTGCTGTATCCATCACTGCCTGTCATGAAGAAGGCATCTCGTTAATTTGAGCAGATTTGAAAGTCAAAACCAAATTTAAACAGCGAAGGCACAGAAAGAATATGATCACTCATGATAACACATTCTCTAATCCTCTACATTGTATCATAACTGATGCCACACTATAAATATATTAAAAAATATGAACTCAGAGAACCCAAAGGAAAAGGGTCCTTAAAAAAATCTAATGAAATCCCATCATGTCTATATTTCTCTGGAAACAGGCCATATTTTATAAATCAAAAGCACTGAACTGAAAAGAATATATAATGAGTATACTTGAAAGAATAGTCATTATCAGGGTTTAGACTGTAACAGAAAAAAATGCAGGGCACTCAGGAAATATTGGGTTTGTGGAAAATAAAAAATAAAAATAAATAATAAATTTATTGTAAGTGGTATTTTAAATTTAAATTTAACTGGTGCCCTGTATTTCATCTGGCCACTCCAGTCATTTTGTTTTCCTGAAATTGGTGATGAACAGATAAAGTAAATTTTATGTAGCATACCATTGAGTTGTCAGGCTGCCAGGTTACTAATTTTATCACTTAAAGGCACACAAAAGGCAACCACACTGATTCTATTTCTGATAACTAGACCTTTTCAAAGTCCTTGGACTAGTCATGGTAAAACCAGAGCATAACATTCCTATTTTAACCAAGCTTTCTTGTTTTCTTTCAAAACTACATTTATTATGTATTCCACAGGGGGTACCAACCCCCAAACTGAAACATTCTTCTAAGAGGGGAAATGTTAATTGCTAAAAATTTGGGGGATTATAAGTTTTCAGCTTCCAATTCTGAGTTCTAATCTTAGCATTTGTTACTAACAGGATGTGAGCAATGATAAGTAATTTTCTTCTTTTGAGTTTCAATTGCATCATCCATAAAACACAAACCAACTATTCCAATCTCTGTTTTCAGTTTATTTTATTTGTATGGGTGTTCTGTCTGCATATATGTCTGTGCACCCGTGGAGGCCAGAAGATGCCGGGTCCTCAGGAACTGGAATTACAGACCGTTGTGAGCCACAATATGGGTGCTGGAAATCGAACCTGGATCCTCTGAAAGCGCAGCCAATGCTCTTAACTTCTGAGCCGTCTCTCCAGCCCAGCCCACCCTCATCTTCTTTGCACAGAGTAGAAGACGCATGACTATCTTCGATGAAGTAAAAGGTCAAAAGTACAGAAGGAGCATGAAGGGGATGACTCCAGCTCCAACCTCAGCACCACAGAGGTCAGACACAGGGCTGACATGGGAGGTAAAGCTGAAACACTACAGTTTCTCTAGTGGTCAGCTTAGTGCTTTGTAAAGGGTTTTTATCAGCGCATATTAATTATATACGAGGGGCTTCATTATGACATTCATAAATCTTATAATGTATTTTGATGTTTACCCCCTTCCTAACCCTTCCTGGTCTTCTTCTCACTCTTGCTAATCCCTTTCTCTTCCTAGGCCGTCAGTCCCTCTTCCCTTGACAGGTATAGACCCCCTCGCCCCCCACCCTTCTCTGTGGCCCACTGAGTTGAATTAGCATTGCTTAGAGAAGCTTGAGTGAGGAGTTGTTTATGGGAGCATGGGCACCTCACCAGTGGTTATACTACTGAGGAAAACATCTCTTCCCTCTTCAGATAAGCATCAACTACATCATCGGCAACCTCAGGGAAGGATGGGGCTTCATGAATCCTTCCCTCTTCCCTAACAGTCCTGTGAAGCTGAGTGTAAGAGGCATGCCACATCCAAAAAGAAGCATTCCACAACACCTCTCCCCTCCTCCACCCCTTACATTCTTCTGCCCCTGAGCCTTGGAGGAGATGATCTAGACATCGCATTAGGGCTCAGCTTTCAATAGTCAGTGCTCCCAGGACTCTGGAGGTCGAGTTGTGTAGTGGTAACAACCGCTGCTGTGTTGACAAGGTAAGACCCCACAATAGTCTGTGTTATCCTGTGGCCGGGAGATGATGGTCTTGGGTCTCACAATCGAACCTCTTTGTGCTCCTCAACTTCTTCGCTTTTAAACAGGAGGAAATTCTCCTGAGTCCTTCACCCTTGACACAGGGTGGATGGGCAAGTGAGATTACACTTGTATGTGCAAGCAGTCCATAACCTCTTCTCTTAAAGTTAAAATTAAATGTAAGCGGAGGAAGTACAGGGGATGTAAGATCACCGAATCTAAGATTTTATATCTCCTGGGTCCCTAGTGCCATGCTAATGGAGATGAGGAAATCAGGAAAAGAGCTTCATAAAGCCCAGCCAATTACAAAAGGACAGAATAGGTGGAGGAACAGGTATGGCTTGGTACCTGCCAGCTGCATCCATCATGGACACTCGGGGCCATGGCCAAAACGGGCACGTCAAGTGCTGTCCTTTACAGAGCGTTTCTATTTGAATTTTTTGGTTTTGTTTTTGTTTTCTTTTTGAAGTAGGGTTTAAATTACATAATAAACATCTAGGGCAAAGGGAACAAAAAATCCCCCCTTTTTTAAACTCTTTGTTTTTACTATTTGCTATAAGCACTAATAATTAATAATACACAAGCCTGTCTTTACAAACTGCCCTTTGAACCTGAGAGCAGTCAGCAAGCACAAGGCTTGAAGTCTTTTAGTTGGTTTTAACTTTTACGAGGCTGTTAATAAAAAGACAAATACCTAAAAGAAAGCTAGCCAAGAAAAATGCAATGAAAATTGATGCCCAAAATCCTCATGTGAACATCCCATCCACATCGCTCCCTCTCTTCACTAAATTATTGTCCAGTCACTCACTTATTTTATTACACAAAGAAATTCTTACCTCATAAGTGAGCTGCATTGTATATCCATTTCAAGTGGGAGAATTTATTTTGTTTTCCAGCTTTTACAGTATGTCTTAAAATAACTGAAGAAAACCTGGAAGGACTCAACATCATTGCTGGCAGCGACTACTCTCGGGTAACATGAATGGTAAATACTGCTTGTGTCTTCAAACTTGTCTACAGTGTTTGGGCTCAGGAGGCACATGCCAAGTACAGGAAACACCAGAGGATCCATACTAGTTAGGTGAGGAGAAATTAAATCAAACGGAAGTTATTACCAGCAAGCCGTGAGTTCCTGTGTTAACTTAAGTCTTAAATCTCAACTATTTTCAGACCAAACGTCTAATTGGAAGTATATTATCTAGGGAACATGCTTGGCACCTCTAAATGTTCGTGCAGTGATTTAACATAACAGTCAGTGCCTTTGAGACATTTTGATTCATGAGACTTCACTGTGCTACATTTCATGAGGTTGTTGCTGTGTGGATGGAGAGCTGAGGGGCACGTCCCCAAGTTCACAGCTAACCAAGCTCTGGCAGGTGCAGTGCTCTCCAGTATCTGAGGCTTGGGTCTTAGAATACACAGAAGGATGGATCAACTGACTGGTGGTTACAGAAGGTTCAAAGGGATGCAGGGAGATGACTAGGAGGTGAGGTGTCATGAGTTTTTACAGTAACTTTAATGGCTAAAATTACACACAAGCAGAAATAAAAAGCCACACATTTCATTTTACACACCCCGTATGCTTCCATTTAAAAACAAGGATGACAGATTCAATTAACAATTGAACAAATGGGGCCAAACCAGTAATACTTTCTAAAGAACCTTTAAATAAAATTAAGTTTGGGGCTAGAAATATGACTCAGTTGGTAGTGTTGCCTCCGTCTTAGTTAGGGTTACTACTGCTGTGAAAAAACACCATGACCAAAAGTAACTTGAGGAGGGAAGGGTTATTTTCACTTACAATTCCAGGTTAAGAGTCTATCACTGAGGGAAGTCAGGGCAGGAACCCGGAGGCAGGAACCCGGAGGGAGAAGCAGTGAAGGGGTGCGGCTTACAGGCTTGCTCTCCATCACTTGCTCAGCCTGCTTTCTTTAGAGCACCCAGGACCACCAGCCCAGGGATGGCCCCGCCCACACTGAGCTGACCCCTCCCACATCAATCACCAATCAAGTAATCCACAGGCTTGCTCACGGGCCAATCGGATGGGGAATTTTTTTCTAAAATTTCTAAAATAATTCTAGCTTGTGTCAAATTACCATAAAACCAACCAGCACGCCTGACATTCATGAATCCCCAGCAACTGCATAAAACCAAGTTCTAGGGCCCATGTCTGTCATCCCAACTCCCTAGGGGGAGAGGCAGAAGGATCAGAAGTTCAAGGACATCTTTGGTGACACCATGAGGTCAAGGCCGCTGTGAGAATAATGAGACCCTGGCTCAAATGAATAAAAGTTTTTAATTTTACAGGTTGAGTGTGCCTTGACTTATCCCCTCTTAAGTTTTTACAGATTAGTAATACTTTTTTAAATGAAAAATTATATAGCACACATGGTGTTAAAACTAAAACTTCTCATTTTCATTGCAGATTATTTTAAACTTAGAATTTGTAGTTTGGGTTTTTCATTTAACTACACAGGTTATAGCTCCTACTAGTCACAGGTATTTTTTCATGTTTTATTAAAGATAGATATTTCTTCACACAATATATTCTGGTCACAGTTTCCCCTCCCCCTGATCTTCCCCACTCCCCATCCATCCAAATCCACACCTTTCCTTTATCTCTCTCATTAGAATACAAACAGGCACCAATATTAACAACAACAGCAATAATAATAATATATGAAAACAAACAAATCAGAATAAGACCAAAAAAAGCACAAGAAATATATACAGGTGCTGAGATCCCAATAAAAACAAAACTAGAAACCATAATATATAAGAAAAAGATATGAAAGATTTTTTAAAAAAGCTAGGACTGTGAGATAAAAATACCACTGAGTTCACTTTGTGTTGGCCATCTACCACTGAGCATTGGGCCTAATTTATTGATAGGACACAGGGAAGCAAAATCTCACGCATTTCAAATGTGATTAGCTACCAAGGAGAATACACCACACACACACACACACACAGAGAGAGAGAGAGAGAGAGAGAGAGAGAGAGAGAGCTGTGTCTGTAAGTTGCTCTATGTAGCAGTAATATCACTTTCTATCAAAGTCAAACTGCTTAAACGGCTTCCAATGCCTACTAAGTAATCTAGATATCTTAACGGGGATAAACGAAATATTTTGTCTACATTTTATAGGATATTTCTTGAAAGCTAGAAATATAAGGAAACAGAAAACTTTACAAGGCAAAGCAAAATTGTAATATAAACCTAATGACTCTCTTAAGTTAAAAATATAGATAAAACCTGCTTGCAAAGCATCTAATTCAATGTATCTTACCCTTTTTTCCAAATAATTGTTATTTCTTTAAAGATTTGATTATTTATGTATATGAGTGCTGTGTCTGCATGTACTCACTCCTGCAAGCCAGAAGAAAGAATCAGATCTCATTACAAATGGTTGTGAGCCACCATGTGCTGGGAATTGAACTCAGGACCTCTGGAAGAACACCCAGTGCTCTTAACTGCTGAACCATCTCTCCAATCCCCAAAACAAATATTCTTAAAGAATTTTTTAATTGAAAATATGCTTCACTTTGTGTACTTTTAAAAGATTTTTTTTTTATTTTATAGGCATGCGTACCTGAGTATATGCATGCACCACATGCATTCAGGTGTACATGGCAGCCAGAAGAGTGCATTGGATCCTTTGGAACTGGAGTTACCAATAGTTGTGAGCCACCTCATGTGGATGCTGGGAACTGAACCCCAGCCCTCTCTAAGAACACCAAATGCTGTCACTGCTCCAGCCTCATTCTTAGGGTAATTTTGTCCTAGAATTGAGATCTAATGCAGTAGCCTAAAAACTAAATTTTCAGCCACTTTAAAAAAAAAATGTCATTAGAGGCTTTTTACATTAAAATTATATATGAAAACTAAATTCACATTAGCAAAGACACCCCATTATTTAATGTGCTTGTATACTAAGAGAGGGTAAGATAAACACCTGTTCTTGAGTTAGATTCCCCATGACATTAAATCTGTAAGCTTTGGTTTTTCTTCCATGAAGACTAAAAATGAACTTCAGTGAACATGGTATTTAAGGGGCTCTGGTCACATAGACTCAGGACTCAAACCCATACCAGCTCTGTCAAAGAACTGACATTAGGTACATTATTTGCTCTCACTGTACAATAAGATATTATTTACCTCACACAGTCCAGAAAACTAAATAATTCAATGTGCATACACTGATGACTTAATTAGTTGAACACTAAATGTAGTATTCATTTTTTATCAACTGATTTTTTAAAATAAAGAGAATTTATTCAATTTACTTAAACAGAATAATAACTGTTGTCTCTTCCTTTATTCTGTTTTATTTTAGAAGTCATCAAGGCTGGACTTGAACCTAAGAACTTCTTAGTCTTAGCTTCCCATAGGATTACAGGTATGTGCCATCATGTCCAGCCCTTCATTACTTCCTATTAGGCACTTAATTTCAAAACTCCATTTGGGGCAGGCAAATGGCTCATCAGGTAAAGGGATCTGCCTCCCAGAATGAGCACCTAACTTTGATCCCTGGAACACATATGATGGAAAGAAACAACTCCCACAATTTGACCTCTGACCTCCAAAACTTATTGTGGTACACTTGTATACACACACACACACACACACACACACACACACACACAAAATAAATGTAAAAGCTCCATTTTTACAACTCTTAATATGAAGAAAAAGAAAACTGTTTCAACATATTTTTCAAATTAAAATTTAAAAAATGGATCCTCCACATCAATAATGACACCCATATATGACTTAATTTTCTGAACCATACATAAAGATTATGAGCTAAATATTTAATTGTGAAAAACAATTACAAAAAAATGAACTTATTTTTCTATTACTACTAAAAGGATAAACTTATTTAGCCGTATATATTAGAAAATATACAATAATTAAACCATAGCAATCAATATTCTATAATGTGGTAATTCTATACCTGAACGTATTTTTAAAACTTAATAAAAATGTTACAGGCCATTTGGATATAAAAGTTGGCCATTTTACTTCTTTTTTGTTTTTCCTTTCATTTGACTTCTTATCCAACTGAAGGGAAATACTAAAAGTAGGTTGTTACCACCCCTGGACCTCAAGGATACCCATGGAACAGTCCCTTGAGTAATAACTTTTGAAAGAGCTTTTCCAGGGTACCTCAAGCAAAACAAAGGAAAAATTTGCAGGTGTGACTAATCCACAGCACTCAAGTACATGTTCATGTTTATAATTATACTATTAAAATGTCATATTTTTGTTCTTTTTAATGTTTTTATCCACCAGTTGTATCAATTAATCATAAGTACCTGAATTAGAAAGAGCCTACTAAATCCTCTGACTGGAAAGAATGATTGTATAAAAGTCTCCTAAAATTATTTGTAGGAAAAAAACACAAAAATAACTCCCATAAAAATAATGTTGGCTATTTTTCCTGCTCTTAGATCCTTATTTTATACAGTTTTAGTTACAGTGTTTGCATAATTTGACCTGGATCCACTACTCAAGTTTGGAAAAATGCAAGAATGAAATTGTTTAACTTGAGAAACTGATGCTGTGTTCTCCTGAGAAGCAAGAACTCTTAGAGCTGGAGGAGCCTGTTGAAGCTCACCTGTGACCCGGGGCCTGGCCCTGGCCCTGGCCCTCACAGCTCCAGTCTTCATCAACAGCAAAGCTGGGAGCAAAACCTGAGGGCCTAACTCCTACTCCAGTTACCACCTTGTTAGAGCCTTACACAATCCCAAATAAAGCTCCTTCAAACCATTAATAAAAAGCCATCTAATAATGAAGGACACTTGAGGCTTTTTTAAACTGCTGTTGTGTTGTTCTGATTCCTATTTGTCAGGAAAAAAAGGGAATGACTATCGATGTTTATGATCAAGTTTTAGTGTTATTAATTCTCAATGTGAAAATTATAAACTAGGAAAACAAAGCAAAACAGTACTAAGAAAAACCACAGGGAACACACATGCTCTCCTTTAACTGTCTTGAGAACTCTCTAAGTCCATCAAGTCCGTAAACATCATACCTAGAGTATGTTCTCTCAGAAAGATGGATTAGGAATTGACACCTAAACTTGTCACATGTAAGGCTCCCAATTCCCACAAACAGAAACACATTTCAAAGGGTTTAAAACAGTGGCTCCAAACTGAGTAGTGGTGCCAGTCCTCGGGGGAAATCTGGAAATGTGTGGGAACAGATTTGATTTCACAATCTTGGGGGTATTCTTGGCATTAGAAAGACTTCTGGCATCAAATGCCTGGGGCCTGAGGATGTAATTCATCCTGCAATTTGACAGATAGTGTCTCAGAGCAAAACACATCCCAGTCAAATCCCAGCCTATACTTTTGGGAAACACTTTAAGTGAATCAAAGATTAGCTGGCTCTAAGGACGGTAAAGGACACAGGAGATTTGAGGCCCAGCACACCCTCCATAACCTCTACCCTGACAACCCATGCTTCGCTTGGGTTCGACATGTCAACGAAACAAGCATGCTCCCTAAAGTTCTTCGGTTCCCAAGTGTTCTCCTCTGGGAGAAACTTACCGAGACCAGATGCAGAGAGAATGCAGAAACGCTTTCTGCAGTCTGATGCTCAGGACTTCCAAGTTGGGAGGGTCACTCTGGTTTGTATTTTTCCTGGCATTCTTATTTGCATGTAGGAATGATATCACTTAAATGAAAACCTAAAATCTGAAAGAAAGCTTGGGAACTGAAACCTACCCGCTAAATAAGTATAATGATTGGTTTGCAGTTTCAAAAGAGGAGAAACGCCGTTAAGTGGACATTTATCAACCCCAAATCTTAAGAGCTCAATGCAGGTATATTTTGAAGAACTGTGAATTTCTATAAAAGTTCTTTAGTTTGGTATTTTCAAAGGACCATAATTAAAACATAAAAATGTGAAAGAAGTATGTCATAAATGATTGGAATCACCAACTTATTTACCAAGAATTGCCCTTCAGTTTTAATGGAAAGTAAATTTAATATGCAATCAGACTTTCGTCCCACATGAGAACAGAAATCCAAAAGTGAGTGTGTGTGCTATAGGACTAAAAGGTGCATGAATGTTCCAAGCGCCAGTGGAAGAAGTGAGCTGTGGTGAGGCCACATGGAAAAGGCCTGATGGCCGCGTTGTGCTGCTCACCGACAGTTGGGGCCGGAATGACTCTGCAAGGGGCATTGAATAAGTGCTGCCCATTTGCATTTGATTGTAGTTTTATCATTCTGTCCATAATTAACTCAGAATTACAGTATACAAAATGCAATACAAATACAATTCAGGATTGCAGTTGCATAAACGTTGTAACTACAATTAAATTATATCTATTTATATTGAGTTTGTTTTACTTTTAAGAGTTCCATATTCAGCTCCATATTGAAATGAAAAGAACTAAACCATGGATGTAGTGGTAACTCAGACCTATGATCCCAGTGCTCAGAAGGCTGAAACAGGAAGGTGATGGGGAATCTGAAGCTACGTAGAGAGTTCTAGAACAAACCGCAGCACAGGGTGAGGCTCTGTCTAAAAGAAAAAGGCGCGGGGGAGTCAACGCCAGATATGGCACCTGGCGTACTGGGTCTGTCCACAGTGCTCTGACAATCCCCTTACCTCTGTCCTCCCCTCCCCCCAACCCTGTCCATAAAGGAACAGGCAGACCGTGCGGCTCCCTGCCCTACTAAAGTAGTCAGACGTCTCTACCCCCTTGGATTAGTCCAGAGACAGCAAATGATCCCAGTATGGGTGAATGAAGTAGTGTGGGGAGTACAGAAAGACCAAGAAGGTGCCCCTTTCACAGCAGACGTTTAAGACTCATCAGAGAAGAATTTTGCCAGCACACGAAGAAAGCATGCAGGAAAATAAAGCTGAAGTTCAAGGCCAAAAGACAGATAAGTGGGAGAGGAAAGATAGACAGGCACATGAACAGAGAGAGTCTTAACAAGATTGTCTGATCAGGTAAACTCACCACTGATCCCATCCCTGGGCATTCCAATTGACAGTCATTTTTATATGGGGTCAGGGAGGGTTTGGTCATTTATGAACAAAAGCTCCCTAACTGTTTTACCGGACATCAGAAAGAAAGCCTTTATTTAACAGGGGTGGGGTTTTGTTTTATCTTTTGTTTGATTTATGCTGGGGATTGAACTCAAGGGTATATTGCTTAAATTTAAGACATTGAATTACATAACTATAAAGTTCATTCTCCGCCCCCCCCCAATCCCTCTGTGTGTGTATCTGAGGGTTTAATTATTTTATTAGTTCAAAGGATTAGGATATTTTCTTACATAGGAATTCAACAGAGAATATAGATGGTGACTATATATGCATATATATATATATATATATGTTATTATTAAAATAGCAAATGACAGTCATTTTCCTCCAAAGCTTAAGCACACCCCCACACACCTCCCCAAAGAACACATACACTTCTCTATTCAGAGAAGTCATTTTATAAAAAACGACAATCCTTCCTTCTCCCAAATAAAGAATATAATAAGAATGGCACATAATAATTCCAAGGGGAAAAAAGAAAAAGAAGGAGAAGGGGGAACAGAAAGAAAAAAAAAAGCTGAGCAATGGTGGTGCACACCTTTAGTTCCAGCAGGGAGACAGAGGCAAGCAGATCTCTGAGCTCTGAGTTCTAAGCCAGCTTGGTCTACAGACTGAGTTCCAGGACAGCCAGGGCTCCACAGAGAAACCCTGTCTCAGAAAAAGAAAAAGAAAAAAGAAAAAAAAAGAATTCAAACAGTATGTTCATTACAAACTCAAACCCAGAGAAACGGACATATTTTTTTTTAAGATTTTCAAACATTTTCTAGGATATTTGTCTATTCGTCAACATGATTCTTAGAAACTTAACATTCAATTTGTTTTGCCTACCTTAAATATTTGATTGGAAATAATTGCAAGTTCTACCATTCATTGAAAATGAATAAAGTCCTTACATTGTAAAAATAAAGAAGTAAATAAATAAATAATGATACAATTTAAAGCAAAATGAGAATGAAAAGCCAGCAAATAAGATTATAGAGCTAAATATCAAATGAAGGAGTCACGCACGTGGAGAGACGCTCTGGTTTTAATCCTACGTATGCAGCTCACAGGCACTTACTCCTGAGAACCTGGCATCAAAGTTGCTCCCCAGTCATACTGATGTCTGAAACACCAGTCGGCCTGGACCCACATCTGTGCCTCCAAACTAACGTTACAGGAAGTCTTGTCAAGTCCACAGCTCCTCTGCACACTAACTTCAGCAATTAAGCATCTTCAACTCTGAATGACCAATCAACTCACTGATTTATTTAATTGTCCCACGGCTTACTAAGGAATTTTTCATCCTAGGAAGAGGCTTTTTTCCTACATTCAGCTCGGAAAACAACAACAAAAACAAATGTAACTCAAAAACCACAATTGAAAGTTTAATAAATTATGCTTGGGCTAGAAGCAAATAAATACTACCCCGTTCTGTTTAGTCCTTTCCATTACAAAGGAAGTCATTCTGGAGCATTATTAAAACATCCAAGGCAATGTGAGCAAAGCTGTAATCTGTGCTTACAAATACAATGGAAAGAGTGCATCTTAGTAAAACACATTGCTTGCCACTGAGAAGGGGTGAGTGAGCAACTTTATACAGTTTTTTAAAGTTTATCTGAAAAGACATGATGTAAGAGAACAGAGATCACCTGTGTAGGTGGAACTATTTAAAAGGCAACTTGGGGCTGACTGTATACATAGCTCACAGTCAGGACACTAGCTTGTCTATGGAACTGAGTTTACAGATACAACCCCTAACACCATGAAAGAATAAATCTTGTTGCCTAGAACATGGGAAACACCAATGTTTCCTAATCTTGAAATACTGTGGACATGATGTCATGAAAATATTGACAGTTCCTGTAGATTTTTCAGATCACAAACTGGAAAAACAAAAACTATAAACTTTACAAGCTTATTTAAGTTTACACTGTAACATGGAAGTCATTTTATTTCAAGATAGCCATCTACGACTAATAGTGCATAAAACATACACAATTTTGCAAGTCTTGATCATGTAGTGTAGGCTCTAAGAAGGATATAGAACTCTGAAATGAAAACATTACAGAGAAGAGGGTAGCGGGAAATAGCTGTTGTCTCAGGGGCTTCTAGGGATTCTTCCAGGCAGGAAGAATTGAAGCCTATCAGAATGTATCCAGGAGACTAGACCGCAACATGGACATATAGAACACAAGACAACACAGGAAAATTGGCCGTTACTTAATGAGAATTACTGCTATAAACAGATAAACACACACACAATCACACTCAGACTGGGCAAAAGCTCTGAAGAATTTATTATTTTCAATACCATTGCCTTAAAAATATGCTTAGTCAATATTTGTTTGAACCCTGGGAAACAGTTTCTATTCCTATGTAATTGCAGAAACAGTAAGTTTTAAGAAAGGATAGCAATATTTATTTTACATCCTCCATCTAAGGTTAATGAATGTACCTTACAAGTAAAAATGTTACATCTTTTAGAAACGAAATGAGAGCCAGGCATCATGCATGGTCCATTCCCATAACACCAGCTATTTAAGTATTTGGAAAGCTGAGGTAGATTCAGCCTGGGCTACATAGTGAGTTCAAAACCACAGGACAGCTTAATGAGCCCTTATCTCAGAGTAACCATTTTGAGTGCTGGGTATCGTGTAGCTCAGTTGGCAGAGCACTTGCCTTGCATGCGGAAGGCCATAATTAATCC